TTGTTGCTTTGCTGAGCTGTTGAGCTCACTCTTGCTTTCTGGTGGTTTTCAGGTTCTGGGAAAGGGAAGGAGGTCTTGGACTAGAGTTCAGAGTCTGATCTGTGATAGGTACTTTTGTACTTTTTGATTTTTGTACAGTCATGGCTCTTTCTGCTTTATTTTTCTGTCAGCCATGTACTGTATTTGTAGATGATTGTTTTGAGGAAAAGAAAGAAAAATATAGATGATTTGTTCCGCTGCATTTGATATTTTTAGTAGCTCTGGTCTGTTTTGTATAATATTTGGAAGATTCAGTTCAGTAAGCAAATTCCAAAGCCAGATCCTGGTTAGTTCGTTAAGCTGGTCGCGGGCCGATGCGGGGTGGGATCCGTCTCGGTTCGGGTCGTGACAATTCCTCTGCCATAGCCTTTCTCCAATGAGGATATTTCACAGCATCAGTATACGAAGTGGGTTCAGATATCTGTTCTGACTGAGAACAATTTTGCATATGAATCAGATTAAGCCGTTGGATTGGTTTTAAAGAGACTGTCTTATGCCTGGTAATCATAGGATGATTGGAACAGGGAGCAGTAGGTGGTATAGAATTGAGTGATTGAAGCAGAGGCTGAGAGGAAGAAGAAATTATATTTCGGCTATGCTGAGAGGAAGACTGTTGCTGGGGAGTAGCAGTCTGCTGAGTAGTTTTGGTAGATGCGGGTCTGGTTGAAGTACTAGGAAATGTGGAGCTGGTAGGATATGTATGCGTGGTTGGTACAAGAAGTGACGGAGGAAGCTGAGGTGAAGGTGAAGAATGCGAACATGATGTTTGTTTGAAAGGGAAATCAAGTTCATTGAATACGACATGTCGGGATGTTTAAACATTGTGTGTGTTGATGTCAAGGCACTTACAGCCTTTTGAGACGGGTGAGTATCCAATAAACACACAGCTGCGAGATCTGGACTCCAGTTTGTGTCTTTGAGTTGGCGAAATCCACGGGTAGCAGGCACACCCAAATACCTTAAATAAATGATAATCAGGTTTAGTGTGAAATAAAAGAGATAGAGGAGACCTGTAACCCGTGATAGCAGTAGGAAGCCTGTTGATAATGAACGAAGCCGTGAGCACGGCATCCGGCCAGAGTGATGGCAGAAGCGATGCAGTGGTAATCAAGGTTCGTGTTGTTTCAAGAAGATGTCTGTGCTTGCGCTCTGCCAGCCCATTCTGCTCAGGTGTGTAAGGGCAGGAGGTTTGATGTGCAATGCCGTGGTGACTGAGAAAATTCCTGAAATTATTATTTAAATACTCCATACCTCCATCAGATCTTAAGCATTTAATTGAAAATTGTGTTTGCTTTTCAACATAGGTTTTAAATTTTTGAAAAATTTCAAAGACTTCTGATTTGTGTCGCATGGGAAAAACCCACGTAAATCTAGAGAAGTCGTCGATAAAAACTACGTAATACAAAAAACCTTGATTAGAAGGTACTGGGGCTGGACCCCAAACATCAGTATGCACAATTGCAAGAGGTATAAAAGTGCGATGATTTTTATTTGAGAAAGGTAATCTATGACCTTTTGAGGTCGTACAAGCAGAACAAAAAGAAAAATTATGCGGGATGTTAAGACTTTTGTCGGAGGCAGATACAGCGTGAATAATTCTTGAGTGAGGGTGTCCCAAACGTTGATGCCAGAGATTTGCAATGTTGGAACTAGCTGTTAATGCTGTGGAGCCGTAGTTACTCTTGTTGGCCGATTGAATTGGATAGAGTCCTCTGCGATTTGGTCCCGTGAGCAATGTTTTGTTTGTCTTCAAATCCTTAATGGCAAAACCAGAGGGGTTAAAGTTCACTGATACATTATTATCTTGAGTCAAGTTAGAGATAGAAAGAAGATTATGTGATAAATGCGGAACATGAAATAAATTTTTAAGGTGTAGCTTACGATACGGTGTTGGCAGAATACCGTTGCCGGAGTGGGCAATGGATAGAGATCTGCCATCACCTATTGTAATTGAGTCAGTCCCAGTGTAAGATTGAGCCTGCGAGAGATTGTCCACCGAGTTTGTGAGATGTACTGACGCGCCCGAATCAAGATACCAATCAGGATTTTCATTGTCTGTAGCAGCTACCATCGCTGTGTTAGACGGATTTGTAGTGATCGGGTCAGGAGGATTGACAGAGTTTTTTAGTCTGTGCCAACAATTGTGTGCAAGATGTCCCCGCTTGTTGCATATCTGGCAGTAAGGAACATTTTGATTTGTGGATCTGGATGGCTGTGTCGACGATCTTGCACGTCCACGCCGACCACGGCCCCGATTGGAGTAAAGGGCAGTAGACGAATCTCCAAGTAGATTGTGACGAGCAGATTCCGATTGGAGATTTATTTCTTCTGTGATGAGTAATGAATATAGCGTGTCGAGGTCCATGGGGGATTGCATTGCCCGAATGGTGGTCTTGAGAGCATTATACGATGGTGGCAAGCCATTCATCGTATATAGGAGAACGTCTTCTTGATCAATCTCCGATCCGGCTGAGCTTATGTTATCAACAATGTTCTTGATTTGTTGCATATACTGTGTCATGCTTTGAGACTTCATCTGGATGTTATGCAGCTCATTTTTGAGCTGAATAACTCGTGATCGATTTGATGACTGGAGGCGTTTTTCAAGAGTCTGCCATATAGTAGATGTGGAGTTTAAATGAATAACATAAGAAAGAATGGCAGGGGACACAGTGGAGCACAACGCCGCTGCCAGATTTTGATCCACAAGAACCCATTCTTGATGTCTTGGATTGAGTTCTTTGCTACCATCTTGAAGTGTTTTGTGCGTCGCCGGAGGGGAAGTCGATGAAGAGAGATAGGAAGCAAACCCGTTTGCTGTTAATAATTTCATAACCTGCGATCGCCAAACTGGGTAGTTGTCCGATGACAGTTGCACGGGAACGATGATTTTGATGTTGGAGATAACGAATTTGAGGGAGGCAGGAATGATGAGAGCTTCTTCAAGAGGCTTTTCTTGACTTTCTTCGGTCTGAGAGGTCGAAGAGGAGTCCATGTCGAAACTTGAATGATTGTTGTCGGAAAGAAGAAAGAAGATGACCGGAAATGAATACCGGAACAAAACAGAGGAGAAAATCGAAAAGAAAAGATGTCAGGTACAAGCGACCTGCTATGATACCATGATAGCGTATTAGAAAACTAAAGAAATGTCTTCATTACATTAAGTGTGAGTACAGAGATATATTTATAGAGTCCTAGTCTAGTCCTAATACAAGCTTCTAGAATACAGGTAACAGATAACAGGTAATACAGGTATATGAATCGGTATGCTATATTATTCCTCACCAATTCCTCTTTGCAACTTATTTGTACGTAAGTGGCTTTTATGTTGTCGTCATCCCCATGGCCATCAGGGGAAAACCATATTGGAAGTGAGTCGGCATTGAAGTCTTTCCAATCGATATTTTGCAATGTATGTGTAAGCTCCACCAAGTTAATCCCCGGACAGTCCTCTATTTTTAGCCGTCGAAGCGCCGGAACTCCCGAGATCTTCTCCAGGTAAGGGATGTTTCCAATTTCAATGATTTCTAGAAAATGGGGGTTGTGCAGCTTTTTTAGGAGTTGGCGAGCCTTGCATATTCTTATTCTCTTCAAATAGCTATCTGACAGGACTTCTTCGGGAATTGACTTGAGCTTTGGGCATGCATAAATTTGCAAAACCTCCAAAAAAGGCATCACACGTATATCATTACCCAAACTACTCCACTCCTCCCAGCTATCCATATTTTCAAAGCTCAATAGCTTCATTCTTCGAAATAAGACAGAATTTTGATATGCATCATTTTCTATGTTGTTGTTTGTGTAGAATTCTGGGCCAATGTTTTTTATTGATGATGCACCTTCAATATAAAATGCTTCCAAGAAAGGCAGCAATCCTAATCCGTCAAGTTTCTTGCAATTGCTACAACCAGTTATTTTCAAAAATCGAATGTTAAATAGTCGAGATCCCAGCCAACTTGGTAGCTTGCATCCAAAATAGTTGGTAATTTTAAGAATTTTTAGTTGAACTGGAGGGCAGAGATCCTCAAAGACGACCTCAATTCTGTCGGAATCATCTGTACAAACTTCATTAGAATCTCTCTCCGAGCAACTCAGTATGAGTTCTTTGAGGTGTGGTTTGTCTTTGAGAGAAGCACTTTTTGTTTGAGAGCTGTCCAACACCCTTTCCAGCTTGCACAAATTTAATTGCCTGGTGGCCAATCAACAAGATCTGTTAGTTCTTAAATTCACTTAAATAAGAAATTATCATAATATAGCTTGGAAGTTTGAAGTGTAAGTATTTTGTATATGTTCGACATAATATGCTTAATCATTATAAAATGCTGGTGCATCATAGATAAGATTGTTAGTTTTTTGTTTTCTAATTAATTAGGTTTTTTTTTATGTAAACGTAGATAATTAGCACACAAAACAAGAGTAAAATTTTATTAAAACGCAATACAAAAACCTTAGCTCCGTGAGTGTCTCCAACTCCTTAACAGTAGAGGATTCCCGTGCAATACCCTTGTCTAGAGGCACAATGAATTCAAGAAGTTGTAGTTTGTTCAAATTTCCCACTCCCTGAGGTAGATGATCCAATGCGGTACCTTTAGTTGTCAGAGAACATAGATGATGCAACTTCATAATGCATGAAGGAAGATTACGGAGGTTTTCACACTCAGAAACATCAAGAATCCTCAGAGCATTGAGGTTTTGGATTGTTATGGGCAACTCCTTTATAGGAGTCTGCGATAGGTTTAGGTACCTTAGAAGCTTGAGGGAACCTAGGGATGCAGGCAACTCCGTAACTTTAGTTCCTCGAAGCCATAGTATCCGAAGATGACGAAGATGATTGAAGAGGTCATTATCAATATTATAGATGGTTTTATCAAAGGTCAAAAGAGTCCTCAACGACACCTGTTCTTGCAGACATTTTTTTTGGATCTTAGTCGTTTCATTATGGCCGCCTATAAAAGAAAGACGACGTAGCTTCTTTATCTTTCCATCGAATTCAGAATTTAAAATCTCTCTTTCTTCTGTAGCGACAAGATTCTCGTTTCTAGTTAGAAACTGTGAGAGTGAGTAGACAAGGTCATGCATCTTAAAATAGGCTGCTTCTATGTATACTCGATCTAGTATCACGAGGTTTCTCTGTACTAGTATTCTGAAGTACCTTTCTGCAACATCATGCGATGATCTATTCTTTTCATCATTGATGAGCCCCTCCTGGATCCAAAGGTTTTTTGCATTCATAATCTTAAAATATCTGCCTTTAGGAAACAAAGAACAATACAAGAAACATCGCTTGATATCCCTAGGCAGGTATTGGTAACTTATGTATAAAACAGAGTTGATTTCATCAGGAAGCCCTTTCACCTCCCAAGAGCTGCTCTTGAGAATAAACTCCCATGATTCTCTTGTTCTGCTCTGGCTTGACAACATCCCTCCTATTGCATTGATCGCTAGTGGCAGTCCATCACATTTTTTGACAAGTTCTATGCCGATATCTTTGAGGTTCCATTTGTCATCCTTCGCTTCCAGCTGCTCCCAAGCAGGAAAAGCTGACTTGCAGAGCAGTGACCACCCATCTTCTAGAGGCAATGACTGCACGCGTTGCGAGTGGACTGCCATCATCTGAGCTGCAACCTCTTCGTTTCTTGTGGTGACGAGCACCCTGCTTCCTTCTGCAACGCCCCTCTTTAGCAAGATTCTCAACATGTCATTCCATACTCTCTTAGTCTCCCACACATCATCCAACACCATAAATACCCTTTTGTCTTTCACCATATCGATAACCTTCTTACTGAGCGAGTCAAAATTGTGACAACGCTTACCATCTCCGCCAGCAGATGTTATGATGTTTCTCAATATATCATTTTCATTGTAATTCTGGGATACAGAGACCCACACATTTACCTGAAAGCGGCTTGCGATTATGTGATCATCAAATACTAATTTGGCCAGGGTGGTTTTGCCAATCCCTCCCATTCCAACGATGGCATATACAAGAGGGTTGTCGCGGTCATCATCTTTGGTCAACAACTTGATCAAGCGCCGAGCATCATCCTGTATTCTATTGCCCACTATATCTGAACGGACCACTACAGCGGTAGTCCTGTTATTCGATCTTATTTGGCTCTCCACCGGACCAGTAGGTGCAAAGTTAATCATAAACGATAATTCGGGTATTTGCCCTTTGATTTCGTCATTTAACTGTTTGTTAAGCCTTCGAAGATCGACACCAATCCGATGATTGGATGCAACTTTCTTGAAGCCGGAAATCTTGACAGATAACCAGAAGCGTACCTTGGTAGACGAAGAAGAACTCGACCTAACCTCTTTGCTGCTCATGCTTTCACTATTATTGATTTTGAGGGCGTCGTATTCTTCGAGCAGGTCCTCGATGTCGTACATAGCATGGTTGATTTGGTTGAGCCATCGTTTTGTGGAATCATCCTCGATGATTTTCTTCTCAGAGTCTTGGAGATAGCACTCAAGCCTTTCAAGGGTGTTCTGAAGTTTCTTCACATCGTCTACCAACCTTAACTGCATTGCTAACTCCTCCTTTGCCATGTTGAACAACGTCTCAAGCACCTTCGAAACAAGCAAGTTGATCGGCGTTACCATCTCAATCGTTTGCCCTATCTAATTGCTTGGATGAACTCAGTTCGATCCAAGTCGACACTTGCGCAGGAAGAGCTTCAGCTTCTCATAAAGACGAATGGATGAATTTCTTGTGGAGTGGACAGATCACAGATCTAACGCGTAAAAAAGGCTTTTGAGACCAATTATTGAAACGAAGATTCCTAATACAAATATCAGCCTTATAATTGACGACTTGCAATACGAAGGCCGAATATAAAAATAATTAAAAACTAAGGAATTACAAATATAACCTTTGAAATTTACACCGTTATAGTTTTTAACTATCAAATTCATAGGTTTCCCCCTTAAGCTGCCCTTAAAGGATTTATTTATCTCTGCTGATGATTGAATCCCTTAAATTGACTGATGTAACCTTCAACAACCATCGACATGATTATAGTGAATATGTACATACTATTAATTTTTCATTATGCTAATTAAGGATAGATTGATTTGAAGTAAAATGAGTATAAATATTTCAAATGCATAGATTATAAAAATATTAGTGCTTAATTTGAAATAAAAGAAATACAAATTAAAATTTTGAAGTATAAGAAATTCATAATTTAGTTTATTTTTTTGTGTATTTAAAAATTATTAGAATTAACTAATTTTTAAATACACTCTAAATTTTTGGCCATTATAGTGGCCGCTCACGATATACGGGTGCCACCCACCTATGTCGGCTTCCACCACCCACTGCTGCTGCCACTATCATCGCTCGTCACCACAACCATCAACCACTAATGCTTATGTTATCTTCTTGGCTTTAAGTTATATAAGAGATTAAAATAATTTTTTTATAAGAAAATTAAGAGTTTGAGGAACAAATTATAATCATTACGTCACGATTTTTATTGTATGTAATATATTCATAAAAAAATAGTTACATAATTTATTGATCAATTTTTTTTGTCAAAATGGATCTTAAAAGTATTATATTTATTTTAAGATATGTGTAAAATACATTTTAATTGAATTTTTTTATAAAAAGTGAAACTATTTTAATGTATTATAACATTCCAAATGAGATGATGAACCGACGAAAAATTGACTATTGGAAAACCGCCAGAAAATTAACCTCCTGAAAACCACCGGGAAATTGCGTCGGTAATAGATGATTTTTCTGTAGTGTTTAATTTAGGCCCCCCTTAATAAAATTTCTGGCTCCGTCACTGTTGACACATATAAATTACTGAATGAATCTGCTTTCGTGTCATGAATATTACTTGCCAGTAAATGAGATGTAATGAATTATACATTTATTTGAATGTTACAACACACCAATCTGTAAAATCATGAACATGATGCAGCTTGCTGTTAGGAGGGGTAAATTTAACAGTTTATACACGAATAAAAAGAGAAGCTAAGCAGGCTAAAATAAATCCTTCTCCATCTCCAAGTAATATCAGACAAATTCAAGACTTCTTCATGATATCACAAGAAACGATAAAAGCGAAGAATAGGTAGCTCCAGACAGAGACGGTAATTTTGCGCCCCAAGCTGTAGAAAGACTAAAATCTACAGTCTAATCATGACCTGGATCAAAAAGTTACCGGGAGCTCACTTCAGCCATATCCTTCAATTTCTGAACTGGATCAAAAACTTTTTCCGCCGCTAGAATTTCAGTCTGATTTTTCGCCATCAAGAGAAAGACTATAGAAAACAAAATCGACATCCTGACAAATTCGCTCATCCTCCTTATCGTCTGCTGAACTTGAGACGTCTTCCCCTGAAGTGAAGCTGCGGGGCGTTTTAGTGTAGGTGAAACATTCGATCTCGTCCCAGACAGTGATGTTATCAAAGTGTTGGATTTGAGAACACTCATGAACTCCATTTTCTTTGTTAAAGCCTATCTTCCTCACCAATTCCTCTTTGCAACTTATTCGCAGGTAAGTTGCTTTTATGTTGTCGTCAAACCACATCGGAAGTGAGTCGGCACTGAAGTCTTTCCAATCAATATTTTCCAATGTATGTGTAAGCTCCACCAAGTTAATTCCCGGACAGTCCTCTATCTTTAGTCGTTGAAGCGCCGGAAGTCCCGAGATCTTTTCCAGGTAAGGGATGTTTCCAATTTCAATGATTTCTAGAAAACGGAGGTTGTGCAGCTTTTTTAGGAGGAGTTGGGTTGCCTTACATATTCTTATTCTCTTCAATGAGTTAGCTGCATGAAACAGTACTTCTTCAGGAAATGACTTGAGCTTTGAGCAAGCATAAATTTGCAAAACCTCCAATTGAGACATCACAGGTATATCTTTTCCCAAACTACTCCACTCCTCCCAGTTATCCATATTTTCAAAGCTCAATAGTTTCATTTTTGGAAAGAAGACAGAATTTTGATATGAACCATTTTCTATGTTGTTTGTGTAGAATTCTGAGCCTATGCTTTTTATTGATGCTGCACCTTCAATATAAAGTGCTTCCAAGTTAGGCAGCAATCCTAATCCTTTAAGTTTCTTGCAATTGCTACAACGAGTTATTTTCAAGTATCGTATATTTATTGGAGATCCCAGCCAAGTTGGTAACTTGCATCCCAAATAGTTGGTAATTTTAAGAATTTTTAGTTCGACTGGAGGGCGGAGATCCTCAAAGACCTCCTCAATTCTTTCGGAATCTTCTATAGAAACTTCATTAGAATCACTCTCTGAGCAACTTAGTCCAAGCTATTTGAGGTATTTTTTGTCTTTTAGAGCAGCACTTTTTGCTTCTGGCCTGTTTGACACCCTTTCCAGCTTGAACAAATCTAATCGTCTGTAAGCCAGTTAACATGATTGGTTAGTTCTTGAATTCAATTGAAGAAGATATTATTAGAAACACAACAATATAATACGGGCTTATTATACTACCATATATGTAGCGGCCATGTACCGCAACTATACTTATTTATATGGTGTAACCTGTAACAAGAAAGATAATAATAATAATTTCCTTATTCTGCTTTCGAGTTCTGTGCTCAAGCTTTCTTCCTCTCTCTGTTTCTTGTGTTCTTTAAACTTCAACAGATATCATCATAATATAGATTGTAATTTGTAAGTTTGGAATGCAAGCGTTTTATATATGTTCAACATAATATGCTTCATCATTGGAATGTGTTGGTGCATCACAGATAACATTGATAATTTTTTTTTCTAATTAAATAGGTTATTATATATATGAGATAATAAGCACACAAAACAAGAGTAAAATTTGATTAATAAGCAATACAAACCTTAGCTCCGAGAGGGTCTCCAACTCCTTAACAATAGATAAGTCCCGTGCAATATCCTGATCCGGAGGCACGGTGAATTCAAGAACTTGTAGTTCGTTCAAAGTTCCCACTCCCGGCAGTAGATGATCCAATGCAGAACCTTTAGTAGAAAGAGAACATAGATGATGCAACTTCATTATGCATGAAGGCAAATTATAGAGTTTTACACACTCAGAGACATCAAGAATCCTCAGAGCATTGAGGTTTTTGATTGTTATGGGCAACTCCTTTATAGGAGTTTGCGATAGGTTTAGGTACCTTAGCAGCTTGAGGGAACCTAGGGATGCAGGCAACTCTGTAGCTTTAGTTCCTCGGAGCCATAGTATTCGAAGATAACGAAGATGATTGAAGAGGTTATTATCAATATCACAATAGGTTTTATCAAAGATAAAGAGAGTCCTCAACGACAACTGTTTTTGCTGAGATCTTCGGTGGATGTTAGTTGTTTTGTCGGGGTCACCTATAGAAGAAAGACGCCGCAGCTTCTCCATCTTACCAACCAATCCAGAATCTAAAATATCTTCTTCTTTTGCAGCGACCAGATTCTCGTTTCGAGTCAGAAACTGAGAGAGCGAGTAGAAAAGTTCATGCATCTTAAAATAAATTGCTTCTATGTATATTCGATCAAGTATCACGAGGTTCCTCTGTACTAGAATCGTGAAATAACTGACAGCAACATCGTGCGATGATATACCCCTTTCATGTTTGATGAGCCCCTCCTGGATCCAAAGGTTTTTTGCATTCATAATCTTAAAATATCTGCCTGTGGGCTCCGAAAATTCGACCCCGGCCTTTCCACCACGCGATTTCTTTTTTATTATTCGAGCGAGAGAGTTTTAATTGAATAAGTTCTGAGGTAAATTTTGGAAGGCAGATGGATTTGTAGATAAGACACTACCCAGAGATTTCACCCTCATTTTGCGAGGACTTTATGATCTGAGTTCTGGTTTCCTATAGGCGCAAGCCCCTATAGTTAATTACCCCTCCCGATCTCGAGAGAGAACTTTCGATTAAGGCTAGTCGTCAATCAGATACGTAGAATATACGTGTTATCTAGCATATAGTATCAGCATAGGGTTTTAGGATTTGGAATTTGAAAATTGGTTTGGATTTGAGTATTTGGAAAGTTTGGAAATAGTTGGGAATTTGAAGATTTTGATATTCAAAATAGAAATTGCACCATCTTGCACTTAAAGCGGATGGTGGGGGAATGGATGATAGACCCGATCAAGATCCCATGGTTCCGTCGTCCCGGGCCATCGTGGTCCCTGATCTACTTAGTCAGAGGAGGTAGTCGACCCAACCTGACAGAAGGATCCTTGTCGACAGCCATAGGTTGCTTCGTCCAAGGGTACCTTGTAGACCTGGGGTGAATGTTTGTCTAAGGGGATAAATTTAAATCCACCTTAGCTAACAGAGGGCTTTGTGCCCTATCGATTATATCCTATTGATTCATATCTCAAGGATTTGATACCAATAAGGAGCTTATCGGCGCTGGCCATAACCGGTATTTGTGGTGCCATTTGGCGGCAAAACCACTCGGTTCAGAGGGCACCGGGTCATAACCGTTTACCTGCAGTGCCATTTGGCGGCAAAACTGTCGGTTAGAGGACACGTACCACGTCGTTACTAGCAGGAGACTGTTTGAGAATGTATCCTAGTGATATTTTCGACTAGGCATTTAGCTTTTTTGTGAGCTGAAGTAAATTTTAATTTGTCCACCTCGGCAAACTGTTGCGGAGGGCGGATGATTTTTGCTTTATGTGTTTGATGGATTTATTTCAATTTTAAATATCTTGGAATTTTGGGATTCTGAAATTTTGGACTTTATGGAGCTTTAGATTTTCGTAGGCATCTGAGTGGAATTTGAAATATTTAGAATGGACCCCTCCGGTTGATATTAGCATTCAACACGGCCATCATCGGGGTGTTTGGGGTCATTTCCATTTGTTGACTGAACCTTGTTGACTCGGCCGAGCTGTTGGCCGAGGATTGGGTTTCGTAGGCTTTGTGCCATTGTTAGTAAATTCTTAGTGTTATAGACTTTGAAGGCCTAATATGAATGTATTAATACAAATATACCGGTCGCCGCAACCGTATATTTGCTCAACGGTTCGAAACCTGTCGACTCCTATTGATCCGTATAGAATGATCGGATCCGAACATGATTTACTTGTTGACCCGCGAAGCATCCCTGGACGTCACGTGTGTACCAATGGCACGCTCGCCGGGGCCCTTGCGGGTGTTTGATCGTACTTTCCCCTTTAGTGTACCTATGTGTATACAATTTATAGTGCACGTGTAGGGGTATTTTGGAATTGTTCGTAGACGCCTTCTGTCCGCTTGCATAGAAGTTGCGGATCCGGTGGCGTGGCGTAGCAGCTTCTGAATAGAGTTGTTCGTTGTTTTGTACAGGTAGACTGTCGTACACTACTCGTTGCATTCTGCTGGTGGATCGTAGTATACCAACTAATCTCCTGCTTTATGTTGTAGAAGCTCATAGGAACTTGTAGCCTTTATGTATTTTGCTGTGATTTTGATCTTTACGATACATCCACTATTGCTGGAGGTAGATGTATTCATCGTTAGACTGATGTTGACTACATGATACTGCATTTACTGTAGTCTTTATGCATCTACCCATGGGTGGATGTTGTGGCACATACATCTATGTCAGTAGAGAGATCGTATGTGTTGCAGATCTTCCATTGTATATAAGGGATTTTGCATTTATCACAGTTCTTGTATATTTGTCATCCATTTCTTCGTATGTGCTGGTTGTTGTCATTTGAGGGAGTCTAGTGTATTTGTTTACACTTGAGTGACATCAGCTGTGTATGGCCTTAGTGTTCTATCCATGAGCACACTAATACACCATTGCAATCAAGTTGTTTCCCCTCAATGTTTACAAGCATGCTGCATTTATCGTGTATAATAAATTGCAAATCACTATGCCCACCATAGTTCTTGAAGGCTAATGACATGAATAACAACATTATCATTATTTCCAGTTAAAATCAGCATCTGGGTTGGCATAATCATTGTGGACAGATTGTATCATTCTTTGGGGGATTCTTTCGTTAAATACTATCCAACTTCTTTAAACGAACTTGTGGATCCACTGGCAAGGACATTAAACCACACATTGAACATCCCTTCAAGAATAGTACATGATAATTTGTTCATTGATAGTTGCTTGCAATCGTTTGAATGCTTTAATTTGATTGAGATCAATTCATATACACACTGGATATTTATCACCCTTGAGTCATATGGCCTTTTGATTCAAGTCAAGTTCAAATCAACTTTGATTTGAGACTTTTGATCTTTTGAATTTTGAATTCAATCACATTCACTATAATTCATTATGATTTATTGCCTTGGATTTTAGACAATATATCATAAGCATCCAATATATATCAAGCTAGCATATTTATTATACATTGGTCCTTGCTTGCATGATTAATGATATTGATTGGCAAAATTATAATCCTTATCATATTTCATGCTATTCATTCGATGTTCAATGTCTTGTTCAAGTTCAAATACAAGTTCGAGTGTAGTCCTTGTTGTCTTGTAGAGTCAAAGTCCCATTTCAAATAGTAAGCTTAAGTTTCAATTTCATTTGCACATCTCTTTTTTTATTTGGATTCAAGTTTATTTAAGTAGATTGAATCAAGTCCACAAGTCCCATTTTGCTCCAAGTCATTGTCTGATTTCAGACAAAATTTCGGCAGCCTCCTGACGTCTCCCCCGTTTAGGGGAAAAATCAAGAGGCCGCCTACCCGCCACGTCAATAAAGACGTGCACGATTGGTGTTGGTGAGACACCGCGGCAGTATTTTTTATTATTTTCTCCCACCACGGCCAATAAAGGCGTGCATGGGGTTTTTTTAAAAAGTATTTTATGAAAGATACAATTTTGCTTTCCCCCCGCTCGGGGGTACTTATGAGTGATCCCGCTTCGCCGTACGTGCCGCATCGGGGTCCCATCCTACCATGACCAATAAAGGCGTGTATAGGACAGTTCTTCGATTTGCCACGAATATTGAAGTAGTATTTTGAGTTTAGAAGCATTCGTACCTTCGCGGGTTGTAGTGGTTGACACATGGATCGAGGGGTCACTCGCCTACCTCGTCGTAGGTGTCGCACCGGGTTCCCTCCTACCATTGCCTAATAAATAATAATATTAATAATAAATAAAAAAAATATCCCTCCACATTCTCTGTTTCACGGGATCGGGCCGGAGAAGCGCGCGTATGGGAGAATGTTACCTTCACAGCTCAAGAGCTCCTGCTATTACTCCCGATCAAAATTTTATAACCTCCGATCCAAACAGGAAGGGGCGACGTCGGAGGGAGGCGGAGGAGCTGAAGGATGCGGCTAGGGCTTGAGGAGCTCGGTTTTGGGAGGAGTTCGGTCGAGTCTAGGGCGTCGGGTAGGGAGGAGAACGACCGGTTGATCGGAGGCTTTGGAAGAGGAGGTTAGCTTTTCTCTCTCTCTCTCTCTGTTGGAAGCGAAGACGGCGGGATCTGTGGGTCGGGAAAGAGATCCCGTCGGGTTGAGCTTCGGTACAGTGGAGCTAGGTCGGAGCTGTGGTCGGACAGAGAGCTCGATCGTGTGGGATAGAGGTATCGGGAGAGGAGGTCGGGAGTTGAATGTCGTGGAGAGAAATGGAGGTCGTGGGATTTGCAAATGGGAGAGAGCCGAGCAGCGTCGTGTGTGATCTGCGAATGGAAGGAGTTCGGGCTCTATTTAACGACGCTGAGGGAGGCTTGATCGAGGGGAGTCGCAGGATATCCGGGCAGGAATCGCGGGAAGCGACGCGAGCGGCGCCGAGTGCACAGCAATTCGACGGGATTCCTGGATCTATAGGGCAAGGTAGGATTTTGAGCTTCTTTCCCTTTTTTTATTCTTTTGGGTATAACATGGAGGTCAACACTGCCTTTAGGAAACAAGGAACAATACAAGAAACATCGCTTGATATCCGTAGGCAGGACTTGGTAACTAATGTATAAAGCAGAGCTGATGTAGTGGATCGTCGGAAGATGCGACCTGCAAGAAGGATTTGAGTTTTCCCAATCCAGGGAAGAAGAAGAAGAGAGCTTTTCAAAAGCTTCAAAGACTAAAATATATCATTCAATGCATTTCTCCTCTTACACATTCCCTATATATAATGCCAAAGCAAGGAAAACCTAGAGAATCCTAGAAGATTCTAGAAAACTTATAGCAAACTACATAAGCTATTCTAAGGGACACTTTAGACTTAAAATGCTCCGCATCATTCTCCCCTTGCATCAAAAGAGCTCGACTCCGTCGAGCCTCGTCATCGGGAGAAAGATTATGATCCATCCTCCTGGGTCGAAGACTTTAATTCTTTTGTACATGTTCTCAAGCTGAAATCCTTCGAATGATGAAACATTAATGCTAGTAATCGTCATTTTTGTTCTCATCAATTCAGGTATAAGATAATCCAAAGTCCAAATTATATGAGTGGTCTACGGGTCGTAGAAGATCACAAAATCAAACATCTTTTTTTCTTGTCGTGGGATCCTTATATCATGAACAAGATCATCATTAGTAAGCATGCTTTTAGCAAGGGAAATAAGATAAATCTGATGAGAATTAGAAGCTCCAGAGTCTCTTCTTTCACTCCAGAATTCCATGTACTTTGGAGCATCTGATACTATTCCTTTGATCACATGTAGTTTCTGTTTCCAATCAAGCATTGATTTTGGTTTGTCAAAGAGTAGTCGTTCATGACTATTGTTGGGCACTATATCATAGATAAGAAGAAGCTCTTCAAACAAATCATTTATCAAAGCCATAATGTCAAAAATAGGATCCCAAGTTCTGCAACCACACACAGACGGATAGTTCTCTTCTATATAAGATAATTTGTCAATAGGAAGAGTCATCCTATTTATTGTACACATTAGTTCTCTACTATGCATTTCACCGAACAATTTATGTGCATCTTGAATTAGTTGGCCAATAACTTTCATCCGCTTAATCACATTTACATCTTCACGAGACCAGACTTTACAACTCATTACCTTGATCAATTTGAAAGCGGTGTCATGATAACCAACACCACAAATATATGTATGATATTGTAGTTCAAAACCAGGATTCCTCATGAAGTTAACAAGTTCAGATATGTCCATAACCCCAACCTTTCAGGATTTGTTCTCAGATGAATCAGATGATGATGAAAGGCTCCATGCACCAAACGTAAGGAGAGTACGCTTATTCAGCCCAACGAACGATGGAGGGGTCTCAGCCATGAATGCATTATTTGAAAGGTCCTTCGACTTAAGGCTCCGTAGCTGACGGAGCTCCAGTGGAGGCTCTCCGGCAAGACCATTCACCTGCAGTAAGATTGTGTCATGGTTTTCAAGCTTACCAATCCCATATGAGATATCGTCGGTGCAGCCACAGCAGGCCTTTTCTAGCCGAACTAACTTTCTAGGGCTCACGATCTCCAGCTGGATCCAGCCCTTGTAGTTTTTAAAGTACCTGATGTGCGGTTTCAGGATCTTGGTAAGGAGAAGCTGAACTCGATCTTCATCGTTGCTTTTGTCGCCGGAGGCAGTGGCAACTACTGTGATGATGTTGTTACCATGGGAATGGTTATCACCGAAGCTCAGGGACGTGTGGTTAGGGGAGCCGAGCCAACAAATAGCGTAGGAGGTACTCTGTCGATGTGCATTATGCTGTAGGATTCCTTCAGCGGTAGTAGGATGTGCCTGGACCGGGGTTATCGGAGCAGAGCCGTCATCCATGTTCACAACATTAGACGCTGCCAGGTCAGGAGGTGGAAGCTGGATCGGATGGTGGAAGCCGTCGGTCACAAGCGCATAGAACGGAGTGGGCGGGTTTGATCTTGTTGCTTGGAGCGCGGAAAGGTCCGCCGGTCGGTCGAGAGATAAAGCAGAGGCAGAGCTGGAATTGGATCGTGTGAGATCAGGCTCCACGCCAAGAGCGAGATTGCGAGAGCATAGTGGGTGTGGGTGTGGGAGCTCTGTCTGTGCGGATGGCAATGGCGGAGTGGCAGCGGTGGGATCGGGTTGAATGTCGGTTATGGGAATGCCGTCATGCGGGTTTGAGAGTTCTGGCGGTCGGAAGACTCCGGTGACAGAAGGATTTGGGGAGTATCCCACTCTCGGAGATGCGTCTATTAGAGCGGAATCGAGCTGGATCGGATCAAGATCGGAGTTCCGTTTGCGAGGCGACGTAATCTGTGGAGGCGGAGGATTTCGCCATTGCAATGGAAGTTCGAGCGGTGGGTATTCCGGCGGTGGATCACACCATTTGAGCGGGAGTTCGAGCGGAGCGTAATCATCAACGACTGGGGGAGTATGGCGGGATGGATAGCATCTGCGTGAAACGGACGAGGAGATCGAAGAAGAAGAAGAATACCTCGGTATGGTTGCCGACGACATTCTCATCTTCCTTATTGCCCAAAGGTTTTCGCGAATCCGATCAAGATTTCTGTCTACCTGATCGAGCGATTTCTTCGATTGAGCTTGATAGAAGGCGATCCGGCTTCGAGCATCGTCGACAGCCCACCTTCCTTGGCGTCGATCGTCGTCGACCGCCAATCTTGTTTTGCGGCTTCGATCGTCGTCGACAGCCGACCTTCTTCCGCAATCCATCGATCTTCACAAGCTCCAGGCTCTGATACCAACTGATGTAGTGGATCGTCGGAAGATGCGACCTGCAAGAAGGATTTGGGTTTTCCCAATCCAGGGAAGAAGAAGAAGAGAGCTTTTCAAAAGCTTCAAAGACTAAAATATATCATTCAATGCATTTCTCCTACACATTCCCTATATATAATGCCAAAGCAAGGAAAACCTAGAGAATCCTAGAAGATTCTAGAAAACTTAAAGCAAACTACATAAGCTATTCTAAGGGACACTTTAGACTTAAAATGCTCCGCATCAAGAGCTGATTTCCTCAGGAAGCCCTTTCACCTCCCACATGATGTTCTTGAGAACAAACTTCCATGATTCTCTTGTTTTGCTCCGGGCAGACAACATCCCCCCTATGGCATTGATCGCTAGTGGTAGTCCATCACATTTTTTGACAAGTTCTATGCCGATATCTTTGAGGTTCCATTTGTCATCCTTCGCTTCCTGCTGCTCCCAAGCAGGAAAAGCTGACTTGTAGAGCAGTGACCACCCATCTTCTAGAGACAATGGCTGCACGCGTTGGGAGTGGACTGCCATCATCTGAGCTGCAACCTCTTCGTTTCTTGTGGTGACGAGCACCCTGCTTCCTTCTGCAACTCCCCTCTTTAGCAAGATTCTCAACAAGTCATTCCATACTCTCTTAGTCTCCCACACATCATCCAACACCATAAATACCCTTTTGTCTTTCACCATATCGATAACCTTCTTACTGAGCGAGTCAAAATTGTGACAACGCTCACCGTCTCCGCCAGCAGATGTTATGATGTTTCTCAATATATCATTTTCATTGTAATTCTGGGATACAGAGACCCACACATTTACCTGAAAGCGGCTTGCGATTATGTGATCATCAAATACTAATTTGGCCAGAGTGGTTTTGCCAATCCCTCCCATTCCAACGATGGCATATACAAGAGGGTTGTCGCGGTCATCCTCTTTGGTAAACAACTCGATCAAGCGCCGAGCATCATCTTGTATTTTATTGCCCACTATATCTGAACGGACCACTACAGAAGTAGTCCTGTCATTCGATCTCATTTGGCTCTCCACCGGACCAGTAGGTGCGAACTTAGGCAAAAGCGATAATTTGGGTATTTGCCCTTTGATATCGTCATTTAACTGTTTATTAAGCCGTTGAAGCTCGACACCAATCCGATGATTGGATGCAACCTTCTTGATGCTGGAAGACTTGCCATGGAAAGAGTAGCGTACCTTTTTAGACGAAGAAGGAGTCGACTTGTCCTCCTCGTTACTTCTGCTTTCACTATTATTGTCTTTGAGGGCAACGTATTCGTCGAGCAGGTCCTCGATGTCGTAGATGTCCTGGTTGATTTGGTTAAGCCATTGTTTCATGGAAACTTCCTTGATGTTTTTCTTCTCAAAGTCTTGGAGATAGCTCTGGATGCGTCCAAGGGTGACCTGAAGCCTCTTCACATCGTCTTCCAACCTTAACTGCATCGCTAGCTCCTCCTTTGCCATGTTGATCAAAGTTCCAAGCACCTTGGAAACAAGCGACTCGACCGCCGATTCCATCTCGATCGTTTGCCCTATCTAATTGCTTGAATGAGCTCAATTCGATCCAAGTTGACACTTGCACAGGGAGAGCTTCAGCTTCAGCTTCTCTTGTAATGCAGAGACCACAGATCTAACGCGTGAAAAATGCTTTTGAGACCATTTATTGAATCTAAGATTAATCATAAAAATATCTGCCTTATAATTGACATTGTTTGACGATTTTCAATGCACCAAATATAAAAATAATTAAAAACTGAGTAATCACATATATAATTAGGGGTGGATGCAGGCTGGGGGCCTCATGAAAGAAAAACTTGTTCTATTCATGAGAGAGAGAGAGAGAGAGAGAGAACAAACCGCTTGAGGAATTTTTCCCTGCGAATGAAGAGTTCCATGCTTTTCTTCTTTAAGGGTTGGAATTTGAATATTGATTAAAAAGTTTTAATTTATAAATTGATTTTGTTTGTATCTCTTTTTCTTTTTTTCAAGTATTCTATTTCTTCTTAAGCAGATTAAAAAAGAAAATCTAAGTGGTAAAATTTATTTGAGTTTAAATAGTTTTAAGATTTGCAATTAAAATTTTTCATGCACTTTAGAGTTCTGTTAAATGAATTGTATTTTTTTTCAATTTAAAAATAAAATTTATAATTTGTCTAATAATTATTCATTATTTTTTAAAAAATTTTAGAAGTAATTATTATGTCTATTAAATTCTCCATCAAACTCTAGACTTATATTGAAAAAAATATATTTTTAATAATATTAATAATAAAGTAATTGTACAATATTTTTTAAAAAATGAAGACTTCGTCATAAAAATAGCGTGTGTACCCTTTAATTATTGGAAGTTTTTTTATTATATAATTTAACTTTTTTTTTATAACAAGTCTAACACATTTTTTCATGCACTATGTAGAAAGGTAAATATAAATAAGTAAATTCATGACATCTAAAGGAGAAATTATTCTTTGCGGAGCCAGCTCTATCCTGCAATGTATCCTTAAACTTCTTACTGAGCGATTGTCTTAGATATTTGGGCATACACACCACCAGACGACGGCATTATATCAGCTAGCTCGTCAGAGTTGAGCTTTTTTGAACACGGGGAGGACTGATACATATCACGTTAATAAGTGAGCCTATGCAGGGCATTTTATCTTCCTTAACAAACTCATGCATTCGCCACTTTCTTATTTACCATTTCTGCTTACCGTACTGCCATTTTCTTTTATGATTGCTATAGTCAGTTTTAGTATTACGGAGAAAAGAAAGAAATACATACAGGAGGAAACAGAATGTATTCGCAGTTTTTGCTTATTATCAATATTACAAACACCAGAAGTACATCGGTTCTGTAGTTTATCCATTGTTCCTTTGATGTAGGTCCCTGCACAAATGGTTTACTAGCAACAAGAAGTAAAAACAATGGAACAGTAAACTGTTTGTATAAACTCAGAAAAAACTAAAAGACTCTGCTTCTCCTCCTTCCCTTCCCTTAAGTATCCTGCTCACTCCTCCAATACTATACTAAAATTAACTACTGAAATAAAAAGGAGCACATGTGCTATAACGGCCTAAAGCAGAAAGTAATGGAGTATATTCTAACTAACTATTCAGGTGTTTGATAAAATGATCCTCCGGCACAGCAAATAAAGATACTCCGCGTCATTCTTCTGACGATTTTTCAAGACTCGTGTCCGATGCACACATGAATTCACCCATAAGGGGCTCCTCCACTTCGCCACGTCGTATTTTAAGTATAATTAGCTCCTCCTCATCTACTTGACCTGAGACGTCTGCCCATTTAACTTGCCCGTCATACTTAGCGAAGCTATTGGGCATTTCGGGGTGGATGAGCCTTAAACGTTCGTTCTCGTCCAAGACAGAGATGTTGTCAAATTGTTGGATTTTAGACCACTCATGAACATCATTGACGCATATCTTCCTCACCAATTCCTCTTTGCAACTTATTTGTAGGTAAGTGGCTTTTATGTTGTTGTCATCCTCATGGCCATGAGTGGAAAACCACATTGGAAGTGAGTCAGCATTGAAGTCTTTCCAATCGATATTCTGCAATGTATGTGTAAGCTCCACCAAGTTAATCCCCGGACAGTCCTCTATCTTTAGTCGTTCAAGCGCCGGAACTTCCGAGATCTTCTCCAGGTAAGGGATGTTTCCAATTTCAATGATTTTTAGAAAAATAAGGTTGTGCAGCTTTTTTAGGAGGAGTTGGGGAGCCTTGCATATTCTTATTTTCTTCAAATATCTATCTGACAGGACTTCTTCGGGAATACACTTGAGCTTTGGGCATGCATAAATTTGCAAAACCTCCAAACAAGGCATCACACGTATATCTTTCCCCAAACTACTCCACTCCTCCCAGCTATCCATTTTTTCAAAGCTCAATAGCTTCAAACTTCGAAATAAGACAGAATTTTGATTTGCACCATTTTCTATGTTTTTGTTTGTGTAGAATTCGGGGCCAATGCTTTTTATTGATGATGCACCTTCAATATAAAATGCTTCCAAGAAAGGCAGCAATCCTAATCCATCAAGTTTCTTGCAATTGCCACAACCAGTTATTTTCAAAAATCGAATGTTAAATAGTCGAGATCCCAGCCAACTTGGTAGCTTGCATCCAAAATAGTTGGTAATTTTAAGAATTTTTAGTTCGACTGGAGGGAGGAGATCCTCAAAGACCTCCTCAATTCTGCCGGAATCATCTGTAGAAACTTCATTAGAATCTCTCTCGGAGCAACTCAGTTCGAGTTCTTTGAGGTGTGGTTTGTCTTTGAGAGAAGCACTTTTTGCTTGAGAGCTGTCCAACAGCCTCTCCAGCTTGTACAAATTTAATTGCCTGGTGGCCAATCAACAAGATCTGTTAGTTCTTAAATTCAATTAAATAAGAGATTATCATAATATAGATTGGAAGTTTGAAGTGTAAGTATTTTGTATATTTCCGACATAATATGCTGAATCATTATAAAATGTTGGTGCATCATAGATAAGATTGTTAGTTTTTTGTTTTCTAATTAATTAGGTTTTTTTTAATGTAAACGTAGATAATTAGCACACAAAACAAGAGTAAAATTTTATTAAAACGCAATACAAACCTTAGCTCCGTGAGTCTCTCCAACTCCTTAACAGTAGAGGATTCCCGTGCAATATCCTGGTCTAGAGGCACAATGAATTCAAGAAGTTGTAGTTTGTTCAAATTTCCCACTCCCGGAGGTAGATGATCCAATGCGGAACCTTTAGTTGTAAGAGAACATAGATGATGCAACTTCATAATGCATGAAGGAAGATTACGGAGGTTTTCACACTCAGAAACATCAAGAATCCTCAAAGCATTGAGGTTTTGGATTGTTATGGGCAACTCCTTTATTGGAGTCTGCGATAGGTTTAGGTACCTTAGCAGCTTGAGGGAACCTAGAGATTCAGGCAACTCTGTAACTTTAGTTCCTTGGAGCCATAGTGTCCGAAGATAACGAAGATGATTGAAGAGGGCATTGTCAATATTACCAATGGTTCTATTGAAGATCAAAAGGGTCCTCAACGACACATGTTCTTGCAGACATTTTTTTGTGATTTTAGTCGTTTCATGGGGGCCGCCTACAAAAGAAAAACGTCGTAGCTTCTTTATCTTTCCATCGAATTCAGAATTTAAAATCTCTTTTTCTTCTGTAGCGACAAGATTCTCGTTTCTAGTTAAAAACTGTGAGAGTGAGTAGACAAGGTCATGCATCTTAAAATAGGCTGCTTCTATGTATACTCGATCTAGTATCACGAGGTTCCTCTGTACTAGTATTCTGAAGTACCTTTGTGCAACATCATGCGATGATTTATTCTTTTCATCATGGATGAGCCCCTCCTGGATCCAAAGGTTTTTTGCATTCATAATCTTAAAATATCTTCCTTTAGGAAACAATGAACAATACAAGAAACATCGCTTGATATCCCTAGGCAGGTCTTGGTAACTTATGTATAAAGCAGAGTTGATTTCATCAGGAAGCCCTTCCACCTCCCACGAGCTGCTCTTGAGAATAAAGTCCCATGATTCTCTTGTTTTGCTCTGGCTGGACAACATCCCTCCTATTGCATTGATCGCTAGTGGTAGTCCATCACATTTTTTGACAAGTTCTATGCCGATATCTTTGAGGTTCCATTTGTCATTCTTCGCTTTCTGCTGCACCCAAGCAGGAAAAGCTGACTTGCAGAGCAGTGACCACCCATCTTCCAGAGGCAATGGCTGCACGCGTTGGGAGTGGACTGCCATCATCTGAGCTGCAACCTCTTCGTTTCTTGTTGTGACGAGCACCCTGCTTCCTTCTGCAACGCCCCTCTTTAGCAAGATTCTCAACATGTCATTCCATACTCTCTTAGTCTCCCACACATCATCCAACACCATAAATACCCTTTTGTCTTTCACGATATCGATAACCTTCTTACTGAGCGAGTCAAAATTGAGACAACGCTCACCATCTCCGCCAGCAGATGTTATGATGTTTCTCAGCATATCATTTTCATTGTAATTCTGGGATACAGAGACCCACAAATTTACCTGAAAGCGGCTTGCGATTATGTGATCATCAAATACTAATTTGGCCAGGGTGGTTTTGCCAATCCCTCCCATTCCAACGATGGCATATACAAGAGGGTTGTCACGGTCATCCTCTTTGGTCAACAACTCGATCAAGCGCCGAGCATCATCGTGTATTTTATTGCCCACTATATCTGAACGGACCACTACAGAAGTAGTGCTGTCATTCGATCTTATTCGCCGGCTCTCCACCGGACCAGTAGGTGCAAAGTTAGGCAAAAGCGATAATTCGGGTATTTGCCCTTTGATATCGTCATTTAACTGTTTATTAAGCCGTTGAAGCTCGACACCAATCCGGTGATTGGATGCAACTTTCTTGATGCTGGAAGACTTGCCATGGAAAGAGAAGCGTACCTTTGTAGACAAAGAAGAACTCGACTTGTCCACTTTGCTGCTCGTGCTTTCACTATTATTGTCTCTGAGGGCAGCGTATTCGTCGAGCAGGTCCTCGATGTCGTAGATGTCCTGGTTGATTTGGTAAAGCCATTGTTTCATGGAAACTTCCTTGATGTTTTTCTTCTCAAAGTCTTGGAGATAGTTCTGGATACGTACAAGGGTGACCTGAAGCGTCTTCACATCGTCTTCCAACCTTAACTGCATTGCTAGCTCCTCCTTTGCCATGTTGTACAAAGTCCCAAGCACCTTGGAAACAAGCGAATTGACTACCGATTCCATCTCGATCGTTTGCCCTATCTAATTGCTTGGATAAGCTCAGTTCGATCCAAGTTGAAACTTGTTGCAGGGAGAGCTTCAGCTTCAGCTCCAGCTTCTCATAAAGAGGAATGGATGAACTTCTTGTGGAGTGGACAGATCACAGATCTAAGACGTGCAAAAAGCTTTTGAGAACAATTATTGAAACTAAAATTCATAATACAAATATCGTCACCATCAGCTTCTCTTAACCACAACCATCAACCACTACGGCTCACCTGTGTTGACCTGTAAGTTTTTGATCTCACCTACTCCGACCAACCGCTGCTTCTGGCTGCCGACTCCTCTGCACAGTGAAGCTGATTCGTGCCTTAGCCAGCCTCCAAGCTTCCCGTCGACTCGCCGGACCCGCCTACCTCCGGCCAAACCGGCCTCCGTCGACGCCAAACCCGTGCGTGAACCTCCGTCTCTGATCCTACCCTAGCCCGATCGGGCCTTCTGCTCGTTTCCGTCTCTCCCTCTTTCTATTCTATTATACATAATAATATATAGTATATTATAATAAGTATATTATATTATTGTATACATATCATATTATGATATATTTTATTATATATTATATTATATGATGTTATGTTAAAATATATGTATTTATTATAATATACATTATATTATTTCCGGGGAGGTGACGCCGGAAGGCTGCCGAAATTTACTGAAAAATTTGGGACTTAGTCAAATTTTTGAAATGATTGGAAAATGCTCAAATGATCATTCAATTTGAAAATAATTATAATATTAATTATTTGATAAATTAAAACAATAAAAAAGGGATCTCTAACCGAGCATCGACAATGTATCACAATCTACATCCAATCTATGTCAACCACTCGATCTACAACCAATCATTGCCAATCGAAGCTTCTGAAGACAAAATCTCCTCGCCGTTGATATGCTCCGGTCGAGTCGAGCCCCTTCTTACCTCTCGGCGCCAGGGAGGGGACGCCGGAAGGCTACCAAAATTTTTATTGAACAACAGGGGACTTAGACATAAAATTACAAATTGATTCAATCATAATTTAAACATAAAATCAATTTTGAATCAAATTTAATCACATAATATTAGACTTAAACTCAAAATGACTAAGTTCTAATTTGATTTGAAATTGACTTGACATGTGATATTTCTTTCCAGTGTTCTTTAGCAATAATTATCCTTCATTTTGCTAAAAGAAAGCATATCACTAAAGCACAAGGAGAAGAAACAATGAATTTATAACATATTTAATTGATCTATAGGATATAATAGAAAATTCGTGGCAACCAATGCAGTTGATTTACAAGTACGAACAAGATCTTCTAATGGCTATTGGATAAATTTCCCTTACAAGCTATAGTAGATGATACGATAAGCTTGAATAAATTAAACAACACATCTTCTACGTATCACAACTCAAATCTGACTTAGATTAACGCCACTAAATCCGCAACATGTGTGCAAGCGGACAGAAGGCGTTCGTAGGCCCCTTAAATGAAATATCGGGTATTTTTCTAAGTAAAATTTTGATTAAATGAATCATATTTAAATATTTTAAAATACCTTTATGTATTAAATGTGATCCATTAAATTAAATATACCCCTGCATGTACTCCGGTCAACATGTTAAAAATATAAACACTAATGATTGAGAATGCTGCGCAGGGTCAAATGTTATAACCCGCATGTGCTCCAATCATCACATCTAAATTATAAATCTAATGATTCGAGAATGCTGCGCGGGTCTAATTTCAAGTTTCATCCTCCTCAAAAGGATTGGAGTCGACACGACTTGAATTGCAAAATGCCTCTTAAAATCCTACAAAAAAATACAAGTGGCTTTAATGTCACCCCGATGATAACCGTGTTGATCGGAAATCTCAACCGGAAGGGTCAAATCTCAAATCAAACAACAACTCAAATTCTTGAAATGAAATATATCACCTCAAAATTAAAATTAAAAATCATCCATCTCCCGCAATCATTTGTCGGGGGCGATAAATTTAAAATTAACCTTAGCTCACAAAGAGCGAATGTGTATCGGTGTATCACTTTGATTCATCCTCAAATAGTCTCTTGCCAACAGGGACGTGGCATGTGTCCTCTGATCGGGTGGTTTTGCAGCAAAATGACACCATTAATTATATTACGATCACGGCCAAAGCCCGCATGTTTCCTAAAGGCGTCAAACCCTTGAACGATGAATCATAGGGTATATTTGATAGTCATAAAGTCCTCTGTAAACTAAGGTGGATTCAGATATATCCCCTTTGACAAACATCAACCCAGGTCTACAAGGTATTCTTGGACAAAGCAACCCACGACTGCCGACAAGATGTCTTCTGTCAGGTTGGGTCGACTACCTCCTCTGACTAAGTAGACCAGGGATAATGACAGCTCGGGACGACGGAACCATGAGATCATGATCGGTCTCGTCTTCATTCCCCCCACCATCAATTTTAAGTTTATAATAATAAATTTCAAATCATAAAAATCTAAATTCAAAATTTAAACCCTAAAACTATTATTATTATATGGTAGGTTTATAACCTATTCGACCCCTTTAATGACTAGCCTTAATCGAAAGTTCTCTTCTCTTATCAGGAGGGGTAATTAACTATAGGGGCTTGTGCCTATAGGAAACCAGAACTCAGATAAAAAAGTCCTCACAAAATGAGGGCGAAATCTCTGGGTAGTGCCTTATTTAAAACCCAATCTGCCTTCTGAAAATTCCCCCGGAACCTAATTTAGTTAAAACTCTCTACTGTTATCATCACACAAACACTTGAAAATAAAAAAATGATTGATAGCGTATAGAGGCCAGGATCACAATCCAAAATTAAAAATTTTTTGAGCCCACAACCTGCCACCACTAGTGACCACTTTCTTTCAACTTTAGTCTCCGAGCCATCAGCTCTCATCACAACTTCATATATGAATATTCCTTTCATTATTTTTACAATTTTTATAGTATCATTTCTAAAAAATATATCATTTATAATATATATTAATATAAATATATAAAAAAAACACGGCACATTTTCGTAGGCTAACTGTTGAGAATTTTTTTTTTGGGACTTTGAATGATTAAATTATAAACTCACACCACATATTAACTGCAGCTTTGAATTTCAATATATCTTGATTGGGTAGCTTAAACTCCAACAACAGACGTAAGGTTGGTTGCATATTTACTTTGATGAACCTTTACTATGGGCAAGTTGCCGATGTTACATCAAGGTGATGCTGAAGCCACCTGAGATTATGTTCTCGCATACTTCTGTTGCACATATGTAGAAATAAAAGTGGTGATTTAGGCTTTCAGTTAAGATAGATTTGTTTACTATTTTCTACGCTTCGTTTGTTTTTACACGTTTAATTCCTCCTTTTTCATCCAGCTTTTCTTACACTGATATTGAATAAAGCATGCGAGTAAATGCAGTTCGTTCATGGTTCGGATTGTTGTGACTGTGAACAGCCTTTTTAAAAACTCTCCATAGTTTGCTTATTGGTTTTTAGAAGCATTATTTATTAAGCTTTCTCCATTACAAAGACCTTTTCTCCCATTAACGTTTTTTTATAACGAAATCGAAATAAACGTCAAACGAAGCCCTCAAACAATTTTTTAGTACATACCGGGAAATTTTTGAACATAAAATTATGTGTACTAACAAGTTGCTGTTGAAAACCAGTATTAAAAGTTGTACCGAGATGAAACAGTAGAGATCTTTAAAGTCATCCAGCTTCAATGGTAGGGATCTCGATTACCCAGTTGAACGAATGTAGCTTTCTTCCGTAGCATCTAAACTTCACAAATATAGGATCAAATACTATTTTTTTGATGGATAGGTCGGATCATTTCACTATGGTACGAAAGTTTTAGAATACCATAGCATAATACTGAATATCTAATTATATAACAATAGTTAGTGCGACTGTAACACCGAGGGATGGCCTCCAATCATTCTGATAATAGCTACAAATGTGACAAACAGCCGAGCCTGTTACGCCGGCTCTCGCGGCCTCACTGAGAGACGGTCAGGACAGAATACCCTACGCTCACAGGCCCTTGCCCTCGATTTGTCAAAAACAGTAGCCTATTTTGTAGCAAATGAACGAGGAACTCATCTCCTATTTTCAAATAAGGATCTCAATACTTGCTTACCTTCTAGTGAAGAAAGATAGATGTTACTCTCTTTGCCTTATAAATTCTTATACAATTTTGTAGCTTGTGATCGCATAAGTTTTTTTTTTGTTGTTTTCTAATATATATGAATGTGTTTAGGTGGTCAGAAATTAATTTGACACGATTACAAAAATTCAATTCTGAATTTGACCTGAATATTCGAGTTCAAGATGATACGAATTCATTAATCTCATAATCCAACTTGTGTTTTATATACTAAATAAAATTCTTTATGTGGGAGCTCATATTTGAGCCAAGTTTCTTAAGAATATTCCTAACGAATAATAAATAAAATTGAATAGAACAATAATGCTTTAAAAAATAGCTGGAAAACTAATATAGACGATTATTTGATATAAAGACACAGAAAAACTAAAGAGGCGAACAAATCATAAAAGATTTCGATATACATTGGAAGAGAATATGTACACAATGTAACTTTCAGGGAGTTTAAGGGAGTTAACACAACCGAGCTTGGATCTATTTTAAGAGACTTTTGTAAAGCCTGTACAAACCGGGAGGTACTCTCGCGAAAATCTTACTCACTTGTTCTTCTGTGGGCATCATCAGAGGTTCCGTAATATTATTTTGGTTTTACATTGTAAGAGCACGCTAAATAAACAAGGTCGGACCCAAAATACAAACAATATACTCTAATAGATATAATAAACCATAGGCCGCTAGCTCCGCACATGTTACCAGTACGTGGTATTAACACGTCTGTCTTTGTATTTCTATCATGTGGGAAATTTTGGGGTTAAAGCCCATCCTTCCCTCATTAAACTTGAACGAAGATGTATTCCAACAGAATATAAGAGTTAATAGATTCGAGTGAGACACTCTTATCATCTTCACTCCACCATCTACAGTGAGCTTACAAAAACTAGAGATTTCTTATAGTCCGAGGAGTTTCTAAATTGCCTAGCCACAATACTACAACAGACGTAAGAGTACACACGTAGGGAGAAAGATCACTCTTCCCTGCGCACAAAATACGTAGCCAAAAGGACTTTTTCAACGCGAAATCGTTCTGAGAGAACTACTACGTAAGTCTGTGTTAGAGTCAACTCGGTAAACCCACGGGGTTACTGTTGCTTTCCGTATAGTTGTGAAATTGTACGTAGACTCAGAGAACTATCGGTATAGAACAACTCGCTGGTTGCCTAAAGGACTAAGGACGCATTCAAGGGGTAGCTGAGGATCATCATTCATCATTGTCCTTTGAGCTTCTACAAAATGTGTCAATTTGAACAAACACATAACTCTATAATGTGAATTTTTCATGATTTATATTTTT